AAGAGAAAGTTTCCACTACCTTGGAAAGCAGACGTTAAGCATCCAGCGATATCTAAAACTTATTGTTGGACGCGGGTTGAACCACTATGTTCGCTGTTCTGCACCATTTGGGTGACCGAGGTATTTGCAAAGGACCACTTCTCTATTTCATATGGCCATGTATTTCCTGATTTGCCTCGTTATTTTGCACTGCAGCTAATCTTCCAAAATACAAAACGTTAACTTTTCCTCTGCATTGACTACTGACCATGTATGGGTTGTGTTCTGACTTTTTCCCTCTCATGGATAAAGCTGGCTCCGAGTAGGTCAGCGCCTGTTGAAAATTGTAGTCTTCAGCTAACAGGTGCCTTATTAAATTTTTTTGTGCATAATGATCCTACTCTGACATTTCCGTTTCTATTTCCATCATCGCCGACCATTCAGGAGCTCATACTGTCAAAAAAGCATTTCGTGGCCACTCCGTATTTTCCTTTATGAATAGAGATTCTAGTCACTCCCGACGTTGCTCTCTATCGGTAATTCCTGAAGAATGATGCCACCTAAGAAAGAGCTTCTAGATCCAGTGAAATTAATCTGACTATAATGATCGGCGTTATAAACTCCGCTGCTTGGTGGTGCTTATCTCCATACCCTTGATCGCATGATGAATCAGCTTAGCGCAACCAGACGGGGAAACCGACATACAACTGTTGAAACCAAAATCAGCTAGACGGATGCGTCAACCTCATCAGTAACTACCAATCAGAAAACCGACCGTGGTATTCCAGAAACCGATTCATTCTCTGGAACAAGTAATGCTAAGCAGGGGGACTACGTATGGTAAGACAGCTGCATTTTTTTAAATTTTGCCACTGTTCTTCATTCACTGAACTTGAGATTTTAATCTGAGAAAGAAAAGGGTAAGTTTCGGCCTACTGCTTCATCTTAGGTATTACTTAAGACTTTTGAGCGTATTATTATTAAGCACCCATCCTCATCTTGATTTTCGTGATCCCAACCAGTTGGCTTATCGTAAGTGTAGCTCTACTTCAGATGCGGTTGCTTGTCTTATGCATTCTGTTTTATTTACTACAGACCAAAAACACAAAACCGTTCGTTTGTTTCTTGGACTATACAAACGCGTTCAACTCTACTGACAGAAACAATCCTATTGTCACTGTTACGGCAACATAATCTTCCGCCACATATTTTGAATTGGATGCACGACTACTTTACCGACCGACGCCAATCCACTTGTCTCAATAGTATTAGGTCTTCCACTATTACTGTAAACCAGGGTGCAATTCTATCCCCTTTTCTGTTCTCCTTTTACATCCCAAACTTGCCAGTCACCTCAAATGTTTTCACTTTTAAATATGCCGACGACATAGTAGTTGGCGGTGCATCTCACAACGACAACCCTTCAATCAGCCATAAGTTCCATTTCTGATTGGTGTTAACCATTCTTTAAACCCCAACAAATGCATTGAAGTTTTTTTTCCAATGACCGTAGACCATCAACACTTCCTGGATCATCTGTTGCCAATATCTTAAAAGTTCAAAAGAGGTTTCGTGTCTGCTGACCTCAAATGGCCTATCACGTAGAACAGGCATTTCTTAAAGTCAGAAAGTTGACCTTTTATATTTCACGCCTTCGGCATCTGAGGGTGCCATTGCACATCATCTCTAAATTTATTTTCTCACGCGTTTTACGCCCTTGGACCTCCTGTTCTCCTGTTATCTTTCCCGGTTTACTATCTAAGGATTTCATATTAATTAGACGCTCTCTTAAAAGCACCTTTAGATATGGAGCTGATTGATCCTATTGTCAACCAACACCTAAAGGCGTGCGACTCCATTTTGTCCTATTCGTCACATCCCTATCTAGCTGAATATCAACTTGTCACCGGCAATAAATCTAAACCGTTATATACTTGTATCACTGCTTTTCACAACTCCGGTGTACCTTACCTTTCACGTTTGTTGGTTTCTAGGGAACGAGTATCAAACGAACTTATACGCAGTCTAAAGTAATTTTTTACGCTATTTTATCATCAAACTCATTTGTAATAGCGCGTGTGCCAAAGCAAAAGTGATATCACTCTTTTCACTGAAAATTCTGTTCACATTAAGTGAATTAAGTACACTGTTGACTTGACCGGAGTTACTTGTCCATTTAGCAACAACATGATAAAAAAGTAAATGCGACTGAACAATACAGCAGATGCAAACATGGATTGAAACACCAGCCACGGCTGCATACACAGAGACGGTGAGATCGTCTCGAAATGGTATCGTCGTTCAAAACCACGGCACTCGATCACTCAAAAGACGAAGAACACACTGAAATGATGGACGTATTCGGGCTAACGGATAACCCGACTGACTGGTTCTGAAGCATATAGGAACAACACATTCGAAACCAATGATCCGTTGACGCAGATTCGTTTCAGGGGTGACGCTTAAAGACTGAGGCTGAGCAAATGTTAGGCCGCTGAGGTACGCTTAGTTTTTTCTTCAAAACCATTACAATTTTCACACACGTCTGAGTTAGGACTGTTTGCCAAACAAATCCCGGTACATTAATCTTGCTCATGGGCACGACAGTGCTAGATTGTCCAAATCAAAGTAAGTAAATCTTCTTGGGAAATTCATAACTGAAGCCTTCGGCTGTCCGAAGCCTGACCCGCAAGGAAATGAGGTGGTCTTTGAAGATGGGAAGATCGACACCATTTTGCGGTTATCAATTTGTTTGCTCCTGGGGTGCAAGTTTCTTCAAACGAACCTCTGCACGCCTGGCCCATCGTAAAGCGAGATGCATCAAATTGAACTTTGCTGATCGCTGTCAAGCATTATTCAAAGCAAGTAAGGAGAAGGGCAACGAGATTAAATTTCGATGATCCACGCAAA